AAGGACGCGAGACCCTTGGACGGTCCTTGGACGCCCCAGTTGAGGCTTTTCTAGCGGCGCACTGCCGAACAAATCTAAGGACACGAGGGTGCCCTCGGGAAGGTTACGCGTCCTTACTATGGACTTCCACTCACTGCAATGCGAAAAATATTGAATTATAGTACTACGACTAAGAATATTGATTAAGAAGGCGAGTAATCTAATAATCTAATAAACGATACTAGTAATCATGCTAATCAGGATAAAAAGAAGAACGAAGAAGTGACCACGAGATCTGGAAGACGTCATGGCAGCGGCCGTGACTGAAGGGGAACGCCAAAATGGGACCGGCACAAAGGGGCAACCATCGACCCGGAATCGGCGAAACGCCGCCGATAGATCGGCGACAGGCCCCCGACAGCGAATCCGTGCGCTCCCGGGCGGGGTGGGCGATCGGGGCTGCCATCGGCCATCAATGGGCGATTGGGGATCGATGCATCACCCTGAAGGGGCCCCAGGACACACAAATAAATACACACAAATAAACTGATTCCCAATGTTTTCCTATATTTTTGGGCTTCTGTCGTCCCCCCACTTCCCATACTTTCCCATGTTTTCGGGGAAATCGACGAGGAATTGTGTCCGTGTGTTTTCTCCCCTCCTGATCAATGGGCGATTGGGGATCGATGCGTCACGCCCTGGAGCCCATCCCCGCCCCTGGTGGTTTTGGGACACACCTCGGCCCTCCGGCGGCCGCTCGGGACGATCCTGGCACCCTCGGCACGCCCTCGGCGAGGCGCCACCGCATGAAGGCACCCCGAGCGGCCGCCGGGAGCCGACGGAGCGCGGAGCGCGCCAGGGGCGGCGCCCGAGGCGCCGCCAGGGGGCCCCAGCGCCGATCCGAGAAATCCGCGCGGACCTCCGAGTTTTCATGTTTATGCCACTTGTGGTTCCCCTATTGAAGCTCAGGGCCTCCCCCCAGCAGAAAGAAATAAGCAACAGACGCCAAGACAGAAAACAGTGGACAGAGACCGCCAGGAGAGCGAAGGCGCTGCGCCGGCCGCCATCGACTCGAGTCGCGCCGTCGTGCCGGCGGCGTGCGGGGGGGGGGGGTCGCTCGAGGGGGGTGGGGCAAGCCAGGGGTGCGCTCGCGCCGTGCCTGAGATTCGCCATCGCTCGGAGGTCCATGTCCCGTGGATTTGTCGGTTTCGTGCGTGCTTTTTTTTGCTCGATGGTCCAGGATGGTCCTCGCCGCGGGAAAAATGCACACGTCCGAACGATGCCAGGAATGTTCCACCCCTCCCGCCCATCCCTTTCCATTGCGGTGACTTCTGTTGGATGCGGGATCGACGAATTGGGGCCGCACTGGGGCCTGGCAACCGACGAACCGACGCAAGGATGGACATCAAGCCGTGCATTCAAGACGAACGCCTTCGAATCAACGGGCTGTTTTTCAGGGGGAGCGGTAACCATGCTCACATTCCACAAGCCATACGAAATAAAATTCTGGAACCCGTGCTACCCGGACCCCAAAGGGCAAGGAAGACACCCGAGCGCCCAGAATGCTAGTGGTCAAGCCAGCTTCAGAAAATCCAAGCCCGTTGCTAGCGGGGCCGAATACAACGAACTAGATAGTGGAGACAATACCATGGTCGTTTGCTTGGTGCCAGCAGAGTTTAGCGAAGCGCTCACTTGCAAAGACGACGGGCTCGACGTCGGCAGGACTCTACTTCGGGCAACGGAACTTATGAATTCAACTGGGTACGCTACCGAACTTGGCGGCCAAACGTTCAGCCTCTCACGCGAGATCCACCCCGCGAAATTGCAGCATCGGTTCGGAGAGCTGTCCTCAGACCCAGCATCGGCGGCAAGGTGTCGTGCGCGCCACTAGCAGCCGCATTTGTATTTCATACTGGAATTGAACAAGTGCTGTGGTTGAGGATGTTTATGGGCTGGGCCCAAATACTTGTGGTGGTTCTTCTGACTCCAGACGGCGACGCGCTGTGATTCCAAGTTGGCTGCTGGCCATCGTGCTACTTTTCTTTTCCCATAGCTTCGTTTTCGCCCTAGGTCGTAAGCTGGCTGCTTGCCAGACTTCCCGAGGTAGCTGCTAGCTACCGCGCTCTTCGCGCCCCTGCAGCAGAAACAGATCGTGCCCCGAATGTCTTCGTTATTGGTAGAACGCGCGGGAGATGATGGAGACTGGCTGCTGAAAATGAAATTGACGGGGGAAGTCTGATAATATGCCCCCTTCAACATGATGATTTTGAGGTTTGGGCTTCATATCCGCCGTCTCCACGGCACTCGCAGGCCCTGTGGTGAACGCAGGAATGGCTGTCGTTGTAGCGTGTGTAGGACAATGAAGACGCGAAGTGGAGAAATGACAACAAGCAAAACCTACGACGACAAAGGAGCAGATCGAAGGTCATGTTCCTTTCAACCTGAAGATGTTCGAGCTTAGTGGGCGTCTGCGCCGTCTTCACGACGCTCATAGGCCATGTGGTGCATGCGGGCATTGCGGCACTTGTAGGAAAAGGAATCACATTGCACTCGGAACAAAAGACATCCTATAGTACTCGGCCTTGCTAAGGATCTTGTTGTACTCCGCCACAAGAGGAATCGCGTTGCATGCTGCCACATGACGAAGTCTACTGCGTTCGGGTTCAAAGTGAATCCCAACGCGTAACGCCACAGAACGAAATGGATCGTATTCCGGCGCACAGGAATCTTTTTCACCACAACAGCGATTCTAGTGCATTCGACGTCAACACGAATCCGATGGTCTTGCGCAGAAAAAAAGAATCCTACTGCACTCGGCCTTAATAAGAATAATCCTCTGCAAACAAATTCGCTTTGTATGCCGCGCCAAAAAGAACTCTATTGCATTCGAAGCCAAAAAGAGTCCTAGTGTGTACGCCACAAACTGAATTCTATTGTACCCGGCCGCGTAATAATTCTTTATATCTTCCACCACCAACATAACCCAATTGGCATTGATATACTCAGCTAGAAACCCTGCACAGGCACATAATTTTCCAACCAAAGCATGAAGAAAAGCTTGCGCAGGCACAGCTGGCACATATGAATTCTATTGAAAATGCTGTTTTCGCATGGCCAAGCACAGCTAGCACTTTTTTAAAAAAGATTTTACATCTATGGATATGACTCCAACTTCCCATACATGGAGAATCCTTAAACAATCTGTGCTAATTGTGCCTTTCATTCATAAACATATGTGCCAATTGTGCGTGCGCAGGTGCTTTTGCACAGATTTTCTTAAATTTTGCCCTTCTGAACATGAATTTCGCTTGTGCCTGCATAGATATGTGTAAGATTTGGGCACGTTTTAGCTCTGACCGAAAGAACGTTCCCGTAGATGGAACATTCGGAAAACAACTGTGGTAACTGTGCCTGGCCATACGGAAACAACATGTTCATTAAACAAACATGTGCGCCAATTGTGCCTGCGCAGGTTTTTTATGTAAAAAGGATAAAGAAAAATTCGGTGCTAACTGTGACTGCACCATTTTTCTTATTGGTTGCCCTTCTGAACATGACTTCCGCTTGTGCCTGCACAGATTTATGAAGGACTTGGGCACGCTTTAGCTCTGATGGAACATCGCTTGAAAGAAAAACTGTGCTAACTGTGCCTGGCCATACGAAAACAACATGTCCATTTAAAAAACATATGCGCCAACCGTGCCAGCGATTTCTTGTTTGTGACAAAGCAACCCAAACTGCAAACATTGAACAACAAGGGTTTTTATTTGACAATTCTGTGCTAACTGTGCCTTTGCAGATTTTCTCAACGGTCGCCCCTCTGAACATGACTTTCGCTTGTGCCTGCACAGATCTGTAAAGGATTTGGGCAAGTTTGAGTCTCTGACAGAAAGACCGTTCCCATGTATGGGCAATCCTTTCAGACAAACTGTGCCAATTGCACCTGGCCGTGCGAAAACAACATGTTCATTAAAAAACATACGTGCCAACTGTGCCTGCGCAGGCTTTTCTTAATGTTTGTATTGAAAAGTTCTGTGCTAACTGTGCCTGCGCATGGTTTCTGGATGAATGTCTTACTTTCAATAGGATTCCTCTTGTGGTAGAATACAGAAGGACCCAAATTGCTTCCGAATCTAAGAGCATCATCCCTGCGGCGGAACGCAAAAGGATTGTGTCAAAATGCGAAAACCATTTCCGTTGTGGCGAAATCGGAGGTGATTTTGCAAATTACCAAGAAATCCTCAGAGAAGGTGCCAACAGAACCAGCAAATTCTTTTGGGCCCCTCTAAGTCCTATGGATTCCATCCGGAATCTAATGGATTTCTTAAAGACCCCATATGGACTTCCTAAAGACCATATGTATTCCGAAAGATTCCGATCGATTTCTTCTGGAATCCGATGGATTTCGTAAGGCAATATACATGTAATTCCGTAGGACATGCGTGAGATTCCGCTGGAAATGCGCAAGAATCCGAATTAATTCCATAAGATTGCCGTAGGACTCAATAGGTAAGTCAAAGGCTTCCTCTGGACATCCATCGAATTGCTTTGGGAATCCATAGGAATCCACTTGAAATCCATCGGATTCCCTCGGACATCCATAGGATTCGTGAGGCAATCAATCGGAATCCAGAGGAATTCTTGCTTCTCAACATAAGAAGAAAGCAACTTCGATTCACAACTTTCCCCCGGTAAAAAAAACTCGGCCTTGCCGCCTCTCTTCCCTGATCAAACCTGTACTGGCCCGGGATAATCAACTCTCAGGTGGGGCATGGGGGGGGGGGTAAATGATTATCCAGAGGTGTCGGTTAGCAGATCCTGTCAAACTCCAGACCGCCATCATCCCGCCTTCGTGACGCCCCCCCGGACCACCTCCGCGCCCCCGCGGATGACAGAGAAAGCACGGGCAGCGGGCCATCGTCCCCGTTGTGGCTGTCTCCATTTTCGGCCCTCAGGGCAATGTTTTGCTCCCCGTGCACGCGCGGCTTCGGCGCAGGGGCGGGGGTGCTGCACACAACTCCTCACATGGCCCAGATGTTGAGGCCGGGCGCCAGGCGCCTTGGCCGTTGCTCAACAGGGGGGGCCATGAATGGGGGTCGAAGAAACGTTCACCTTTGGTGCTCCTTTTGGGCCCCAGCCCCTTCAGGGCACCTCAGGCGCACCATGGGTGCACAATTCTTCGCCCCCCCACTTATTCAGGGAAACAAGCTCTGCACACCGCCGCTTTTTCTGGCCCTGCACTGACGCTTGCACAGGACAGCGGATCCTGATGTATGCGGGATCCTGGTGTGTACATTTTTTCTGTGCTTCCCCGGTGGACCGGGGAAACAAGTATACACCACGCCACCCCGACGTCGTCCCCGACCCTCGAAAGAACGTCCTGGGCTTGAACATCAGCCCGCCGCTGGCAGTGTATGTGCTCCGGTTTCCGATGATTGCCCCCCCGTTGCGCAACGCCCGAGAGCCAATTCTTGCGCCACCAGCCGGGGGAGAGCAGCACGCGGTAGTCTGGCAGGTTGGGCTTCACCTCCTGCCGGCGGCGCGCACCAGCAGGGGGCGGCGCGGGGGGGGGCCTCCCTCTAAGGAGGGCTTCTGAGGAGCTAAGTGCGGCTTCTACGGAGCTAAGTTGGATCTGACACGTATGCAAAAGCACAGACATACAGTGGAACTGCGAGTCACATGCACAGTTACGACGGAGAGAAGAGGAGCGGGTGGGGAAAGAGGATCTAGAAGGGGAATCGTGGGCGGGACCCGAGCAGATGCATGGGGTTTGAGAGATGGGGTCGGGGGATCGCGCCGCATCGCCAATGCAGCGATGCACCGGCGATGCGTCGGCGACGTCGGCGTGGAGAAAAGTAGGCTCCGCATCGAGCCACGTCGCTAATGGATCGGTGATGCGGCGCGATCCTCCGACCACCTACTCCGACCCCATTCAGGAAGCCGAGATGCCTTCTTGGAAGCATCCAGGCCCGCCTGAGAAGCCCCTCGCTTTCTTAGAAGGCTTCTCGGGCGGGACTGGGACCGGGAGAAATCGTTCCGGAGTGCTCCATGACGCTCTCGGAACGCTCTCAGAGCGCTCTGGAACGGCCGCTGATGCAGATCCCAAGACATGCGATGTCTTGATTTTTCCAATACGGGGTCCCCAGACTCGGGGATCTTCTGACCCGGGTCCATCCAGACCCGGGTCAGTCAAGCCCTGCAGAATCCTGCAAGATCCTGCACCCCAACTCCGGGCCAGTGCGGACGATCCTGCACCAAGCCCGGGTCACTGCGACCCTGGCTCTGCAGGATCCTGCAAGACAGGGCGCCCTGGCCGACCCCCGTTTAACACTGACCCCCGTCTCTCGAGCCCCGACAAGCGCGTCCCGGCCCCTTCCCCCATTGGGCGTGGCTTAATGGGGGGGTCGCAAATGGGGGGGTCAGAAAAGGTCCCTTTTCGTGCCCCTTTCGGGCCCCTCCAGAGCCCCAGGGGGCTCGTTTAGGTACCGTTTGGGTACCTTTTCGAACCACCCTCGCCACCCCCCCATTTATGACCCCCCCATTACGCAGCGCCCAACTCTCGAGCCCCGACAAGCGCCCCGGCCCCTTCCCCCAAGGCCGGCGTTCCGCCCGGGGTCGTGGCTCGGCGGTCCCCGGGCCCGGCGAAGGCGCCCATGAGGCCAACAGCGGCCCGCAGAAGCTCCCCGCCGTGATGCCCTGCGCGGCGCGAGCCCGTCTGGGTGCCCCGGGACCGCCGGGTCTGAGGTGTCCTCCTGATGTTCCTGCGCACTTACTCTCGCCACAACCACCAGGAAGAATTTCGAGCACCAGCAAAGATCCGAGACTGGGATGTGTTCACGTGTCGGGCCCTGGGAGACACCCGTTCGGCGCTGTTTGGACACTGTTTTGATACTTTTTCGACACTTTTCCGGGTGCTCGAAATTATTTCTGGGATGCGGTCTGTAAGTTCGATGGGGACAACATAAAGGCATTCCCGATTTGTCACTGTCCGATATTGCCTCGTCTTAGCCCGCCCCCTCGCGCCAACCCCCTCGTGCGCGCGGTGCCAATCCTGCTCCCAGCGCTCCCGCGACCTGTTGCCCAGCTTGCGGTCCTCCAGCGCGGGGAGCACCTGGGTGCCCTCGTACCTTGTTGACATGGGGGGGCGGGGGGAGGGGAAAGAGGAGGAGGAGGAGGATGAACGGCATGGGAGGAGGAGGAGGAGGAGGATGAACGGCATGAGCACATAAACTCTCAAAGATATTAATCTTCGCGGATTTCGGATTTCTTGAACCCCCCTGTCTGGCGCGCTCCGCGCGCCAGGAAGGGGGTCCAGCGCAGATCCAAGACATCCGCGCGGACCTATGACAGGTTACGCAGGAAGGAGGGAAGCGGAGGAAGGAGAAGGATGAGGATGAGGATGAGTATGAGGTGGAGGCGGAGGCGGAGGAGGGTCGTGGTTTTCGGGCGTGCTGCAACATCTCTAGGCCCCTGGAGGGGGGGCTCCCCTCCGCCGCGGCAGGGTCTGCCTCCTAATTAAGTCCTGGTCAGAGAGCGCCCCACGGAGAGGTCTGGGGCCAGTCTCTCGAGGCCGACGGCAGGCGCTGGCGGCGGCGGCGGCGACGACGACGACGGGCAGCGGGCAGAGGCAAAGGTACCAATGTGCCGCGCTTTTGCCTTTTCGGGGCCTCCTGCGAGGCCCACGTCGCCGCCGCTGGACTCGCTGCAAAACTCTAGTCAGAACGCACCCCAGGAGAGGCGGGCGTTGGCAGAACTGGGTCTAGTGGAAGCTGGTTTCGTGAGTTGTACCGGGGGCGCCCCCCCGTCCCATCTCCACGAACCGGAACCGCCGTCACCCGAAGAACACCAGCTACGGCGAACCTGGTTTAGTGAATCTGGCCAATTGAGGGGCCCCAGGGCCCTACCACTAACCGGGTCCCCTTACCCGGGGTCCTGGCTATACCCGAGAGAGGTCCAGGGAGCAGCGGTATCCAAGGGCTCCCAACTTCGCGCTTCGCGCTGCGCGAAGCGCGAAGTGCGAATAACTTCGCGCTCTCGCGCCGCCTCCCAGGGGAGAAGAGGAGGATGAGGAGGAATCGGAGCCGAACCGCGAAGCGCGAAGCGCGAATAACTTCGCGCCCTCGAGGGCGCCCTTGGTATCAGTATCTTTGGTTGCCCCCCAGACGGTCGACGACGACGACGACGGCGGCGGCACACGCTGCCCGCCATGTTGTCCCACAGTTTCACGAAGAAGCCGGTGTGCAGCGGCTTGTTCTTCACCGACACCGCGTGGTGGACGTAGTGCTGGAAGCTGGTGTTCCAGATCCTGCTGTTGTAGGGGAGGCACTCCAGCTCGTGGCCACAGTGCAGGTACATGCCGTAGAGCTGCAGGGCAAAGCCCAGGCCGAGGTACAGCACGTCGATGTCGAGGTACTGTCCGAACAGAGCGAGGGAGACCCCAAAGCAGACCATGGGGTACAGAGACCGCATGAAATTGTCCATGGGCCAATCTGCTATGGTCCCAAATGGCGTCGGGTTGTAGTACTTGTGATGGTGCTTGTGAACATTCCAGAGACTGTCCACCCAGTGGCCGAGGTAATGCCACCCCCACTCGTAGAAGTCAATTATCACGACACCCATCACCGCCGACAGAAGGCGGTGCTGCCACGTCAGCGGCGTGTCGCAGTGGTGTCTGAGCGTGCCGTTGCCGATGAGGTAGAGGTGGATGGACATGCTGAAGCTAACGGCCAGTGGGCCAAGGATACCTCCGAGGAACAACTCCCCGGCCACGTAGGTGGGCGACGGGTACTTCGGGTTCGTCTTTGTGCACCACTTCTCGTAGGTTGGGTACACGTACCAGTACACGAACGCGGCGATCGAAGCGCCCGTCAGCACGAGGTAGCCGAACAGCGAAAAAAACAACCAGATCACGAGCCAGCCCTCGAGCCCCTGAAACGAGGACAGCCCCTCGGCGGCCGAGCAAATCAACTGAACCATTGCGCCTCGAGCTCCCCCCCCCCAGGGCAGCCCTGGAGCGTCCAGGCTTTGTCGGCAGATGGCAGAGTACCTCTCGAGCCGTTCGCCAGACGGGATACGGATTGGATCATCTGGGCCCTGTGGGGGCCTCCCCCTCCCTCCTCCTGCCCGTCCTCCTCCCCGTCCTCTTCCCCGTCCTCTTTCACATCGTCCTCCCCGTCCCCCCCTCCCCCCCCCGCTGCCCCCTTTGGAAAGTTCCTCCAGGAGCGTCTGAGAAGACGTGGAAAACATTAAGATGCGCCCGAACACGTGCGGAAACTGCTGACGACAGCCGCAGACCGCTGGAAACAGGGGAAACAATGCTGAAAACATCGATCGAGTCGAAAGTACTGCAGGCATGAGAGGGAAGATCAGGACGACAAGAAGGGACCAGACAGAGGAGGGATGGAGTCGGAGAGGGGTTTGCACGGACGACGTGAGGGCGTCCGGCGACACTTCCTCGCCCTCGCGATCGACCCTGGCCGCGGCGGGTGGCCGTGGGCGCGAACGGGGGCCTCCGTACACGATGTACTTGTCGCCCGTCTGCCTCCTCGGACGGCGGGGGGGAGGGGGCGGACCGGCGGGGGGGGGGCGCACGAGCCAGCCACCAAAGATAAAGGGGCCCCAGGAAACTCAAATAAATACACACACGAATAAAAGGATTCCCCATATTTTCTGGGTTTTTGTCTTCCCCCCCACTTCCGATATTTTCATATATTTTCCTGGGGATCGTCGATGAATTGTGTCTGTGTTTTTTTCCCTCCTGAAATGAGGAGCATCCTCAAGGCCGATCTAAGGAGGCCAGTGAGGCGGGCAAGGCCGCGGCCTCCAGATAGGCACTGCAGGGTATGGGAGACATGCGTATGTGCTGCGACAGACATGACAACTTTGGAGTGGGGCATCGAGTACATAACTGCTTTGCCCCAGACTGTTTGTTTTGTAGATGAGATGCGTAAGAGCTAATACGTTTCGTGTTCGTAAATGGACGGACAAGTCACGCTTTGCATGCCGGTTCAAACGACAGCATCAATTACGGGTACATCAATTTTGTAGTCGATCTCCTACTCGTTAACTGCGTGAGCTTTGAAAAGGCGGGAGGGGGAGGCCACGGGGAGGAAGGGAACATCAATGACGACCGGCGGCGCGAAGGATACTGGGCGAGGCTCCTGGATTCTCGACCCTCCTCGATCCTCGATCCTCCTCGATCCTCCTCGATGTTAGATCCTCCTCGGTCCCCTCCGTCATGGCTTGTGGTGTTTTCCCCAACGGTGCTTCGCCAGCAAACAAGTTTTTATCCTTCGTGGTAGCACGGGTGCGTGCCAAAAGCGGCCGTCGCCTGCCTTCCCCGGAACTCCCCGGTCTTGCCTGCCTGCACGGGCCTTCCTCGGGGTCCCCTGGTCTTGAATACCTACACAAGTGCCCTCCGCAAGGGGGTCCCCAATATACTGTTCTCTCACAAGGGCATTGCATTTCCCGGCCTTTCTCGGGCTTCCCGATATCGCTCCCGGGTCACTCGGTTTTGTTCCTTGCCCGGGTTCCTCGGGTTTCTCGGTCTGAGTTCGTTGCTGGGGTTCCCCGGGTTCCACGGTATTGCCCCTCGGAATCCCCAGTCCGGGCGGTCAGTTTTTCGATCTGCCTCTGGCCGTGTCCACGAGGTCAGTTCTGGCTCCGCGCCCAGCTCCTCCCGACAGCTTAGGCAAAGCTGACGACTGCAGTGGAAGGCAGCGCAGCCGCAGGACACAAGAAGCACCAAGGACGCTGCCGATGCCGACCTCCGCCGTCAACGACTCGCCCGCCACCTGCCGCGGCCCCCTCGCCGAGGAGGTCGATCCACGGGCGGAGCTCGACCTCGCTCAGCTTGCGGAGGCCGTCCATGTCGATGCTGTAGCCCATGCTCTCCGCGAGGTCGAATGCGCGACGAAGACAAGCATCCCGCCAGACGCCCATGCCTGTGCACTGGCCGCCAAAGACCTCGCTCTTGCCCTTGCCCTTGCGCGAACCGGTGCCGGCTTCGCGAGCAGCGCCGCCAACTGCGCAAGCGGTCGGCCCACGCGTCGTCGATACTGCCGCTCGACGCGGCCTCCACGGCCACCTCACCGCTACCGGTGCTTCCGCCACAGCAGCCCCCCGGGAGCGCCGCCGCCTTCGTGCCGCCCGCCGCCGCCGGGGGCTCCGCCGCCCGGCGAGGCCTCGCGGCGCCGCCTCAAGGCCCCCTGAACAACATCCTTTCGCAAACTACACCGGATTCGCGCTCCCTGGCCACCATTTCACCGTAAACTGCACAAGGTTCGCTCTCTCGAGCACACAATCCTAGGACAATTGCTACAAGGTTGGGTCCCGGAAGCCACGATCTTTAGCATATGATGACGACATGTTAAGGTTCCGAGACCATCATCCTTCGTAATTTACACGAGATCCGCGCTCCACACGCCACAATCCCGCATACATTACGGCAGGTTCGCGCTCCAGAGGCCCCCCCGCCTGCAAACTACTTACAAACCTGCGCCCCCGAAGCCACAACCCCTGTGCACATTACTACGCGATGGCGCTCCCGAGGCCATGTTCCCCCCGCACATTGCGTGAGATTCGCGCTCCCCGGCAAGCCACAACCCCAGGGTATATCTGGCTCGCGCTCCCGAGGCCACAATCCCGAACAAAAATACCACCACCTTGCGCTCCCGAGGCCAAGGTCCCTCTGCAAATTCCTACGCGCTGGCGCTCCCGAGGCCACACTCCTTCGTAAATTTGGCGAGGCTCGCGTTGCCGAGGCCAGAGCTCAGTGTAGCGTACACCAGAATCGTGCTCCCGATCACCCGAGAACTTGTACACTACGACGAGTTGGCGCCTCCGGCATCACCACTATCCCGCGCGAACTACTGCAACCCCGCGCTCCCGAGGCCGCGCACCCACCCCACGGAGACTGCCCCGAGAACGCCAAACCGCAGAGCAGAGCACTGCCATGTTCTATGTCGGGATCTGTGCTCGGGGGGCGCCCTTCGCCCCCCCCCCCGGCGTTTCGTCAGAGTTCGGCTCCGGACTCGACGTCACGAATAGCAGTCACCAGCCCGGGGTGCGCGCCCCCGAAGCCCCAGAGCCTCGTACGCCACACCGGAAGCGCGCTCCCGAGGCCACCATTTGTATTGGCACAGACGCGCGCGACCAGCCGGCCATCACGCAGCCCCATCCAACTGCTCAACCGTCTGTTCAGACTGCAGGCCAGTCCGCCGCGTGGCCGACAAGCCGACCAACGACCCGCGCAGCCATGCAAGCAGTCACAGGTAGAGGGGGGGGCGGCAGAGGGCGAAGCTCCCCAGATCCGGCCGCTCCCGTCTGCGGGCTGGGCTGTGCGAGACCTCTCTGCCAGAGCTTTGGGCGCAGTGTTTGACCCCACTCATTTATCAGATCGAGGGCGCGCAAACATGGATCAGGGATCCATGCATTGGGCGCGCGGTCGCCAAATCCATGGATCGGGGGAGGTGCCCTCTCCCAAATGCGGCTGGTGCCGCCTCGCTCGGCGGCGGAAATGCGCGAGTCCCCATGGAAGCGGGACCCGTCGCTAATCCACGCCCCCTCCTCCTCCTCCTCCTCCTCCTCCTCCTCCTCCTGCTCCTGCTCCTGCTCCTCCTCCTCTTCCTCCTCCTCTTTCTCTTCCTTCTCATTATCTTCCTCCTCCTCTTCCTCTTCCTCTTCCTCTTCCTCTTCTTCTTCTTCCTCCTCCTCCTCCTCCTCCTCCTCCTCCCCTGATTCTTGTTTGCGATCGCCTGACATCAGCCTGGTCTCCCTTCCCTGAAAGTCCCTCTAAAGAGGAGGCCTCGCTCTGCCGGCGGGGCCTCGCGGACGCCCGCCGGTGCACATGGCTGCGGCGGCCTCGGACGGCCCCCAGACGACCCGAGGGCCCCAAGACGAGCCAAGAGAGCCCCGGGAGGGCCCCCTGACAGCCCAAGGGGGCCCGAGATTGCCAGAGAGCGTCCCAGGGCTGCCCACCATGGTCCCAGGACGACCTCTGGAACCCCCTATGACGCCCCACGAAAGGCCCAAGTTCATCCCCCGCGGGGGCCCCAAGAGGCCAAAATCAACGATCCCCCTGTGATTTTGTTTTTATTATTTGTTCATTTGGCGCTGTCGTCGCTTCGAACTTTCCGCACTCCACAACAGCCCAGGAGGGCTCCGAGATCGCCCGAAGACGGGTCGAGGCCTCCAGGAGGGATCAAAATCGGTCCACGAGGGCCTCAAGACGGCCTGGGAGGCCCGCGCGAAGGCCCAAGAGACCCCCAGGAGGGCCCCAAGAGAGGCCGAAAACTGTCTCATGAGGCGAACGCGAAGGGGCGCTGGGAGCCTGTCCCCGGCACATTCCCGCCGAGACCTTCAACATGCCCCAGAGGGGCCCCCAAAACACCCCCAGGATGCCCCCAACACGCCCCAAGAGGTCCCCCAAAGCCACTCCAAGAGCTCCCAAAGAAGCCTCCCGAGAGGCTCCACAGAGGCCCCTCCAGAAGCCTGCAACATCTCAACATACCTCCCGAGGTCTGAACACCAAAAACCCCAGTCTCCAAAGAAACCTGTCCGCCGACCACACGCATAGTGTCATCAACAGACCCCCCGAGACACTCATCAACAGGCAACTAGGATGCCCCAGGCATGAACCAGTCGCGAGCCAACTCTTCGCCCGCACGTGCGTTACTCCTAGGGGGCGGCTGGTGATGCGCCGCCGGCGTCCAAGACAATAAATATTTCTCCGCTGGCTAGGCGCCTAGATTTTGCCAGCGCCAGAGAAGTCCTTGACCGATCTTGCCGAGAAGCCCCTCTTGCGCTGGACTTCGAACCGCTCTCCCACGCATGCGCGGCATCCTTTGGGCCCGTCCTTGCATGGGAGACACTTGGTGCAAAGCTGGGCGGCGGCGCTAGCGTCCTCGTAGGTGGCGCGCGTCGGCTCGGCCGCCGTGGGGTCCTCGCAGGGGTTGGACTTGTGCTTGGCCTTGGCCTTGGCCTTGGCCTTGGCCTTGGCCTTGGCCTTGGCCTTGGCCATCGCCGCGTCGTTGTCGCTGGCCCCCTTGAGTTTATTGATGAGCTCGCTGCCTCGAGCGACCGCGGCGTGGAGGGCTGCTGGCGTTTGGCGGCCCTCGCCTCGGATCCCGCACGGGGCGCGCTCGATCCAGCGATTCGTCCACGGGCCGCAGCTCCAACCGTCTACTTGGCACCGTCTGTTGCTCGGTGCTGGGCAATGCTCGCCAAGGCCAAAGGCGCCGAGCTTGTAGAGGATCCTCGCGGCGGCCTCGGGGGCCCACGTGCGAACCCTACCCGCGACTTCTGAGGGGGGGGGGGGCGGGGCGCACTTCGCTCGGCAGCTACCGAGCAAAGTGAACACCACCTTCCCCCCTCAGACATCGTGGGGTGCAGGCGTGAGTTCGCCTGTGGCCCTCGTGGGCCTGCCTGGCGTTCTCGGACGGCTGCTTCGACGCCGCGCCCGTCGATCCTCGAGACCTGGCGGGAATTACCACAAGTGCCCCCTGCCCTGGGCGCCTCCAGGATTCGCTCCAAACCGGAGCGAAACGCCGGAGGCACCCGGGGGGGAGGGGGGCCATTGCAGCAATCGCCGACCTTGAGGTGCGCGTCGTGCGCGGGCGCCTCGGAGTGCACGCATGCCAGCGCGTGCTGGGCCTTGTCGACCCTCTCGGCCCAGCGCTTCTGCTCCTCGGGCTGCTGGGCGGCGGGTGCGTCCTCGCCCTGGCCCTCTCGAGCCCAGGAGACGGCCGCCGTGGGCTCGACCGCCAGAACGCTGTCGGGGACGCCCGCGCGTTCCTCGATCTCGCCCAGCAGCGCGTGCACCGTGCCCAGCTCGAGGGCGTCGCCCTTGACGATCTGCTCTAAGTTCATGATCGCGTGCTCCTTGGCGAGCGCGGCGCGGCGAGCGTGTCTTGTCTGGCGCCAGTCGAGCTTCTGTGCGGCTTGGGGAACTTGTAGTCCTGCTCGATCGTGACCTGTGGCGCTCGGGATTCGCAGACGCTCGTTAGCTTCCGCCTGCTTCCGCTTCGCGTTGCTTTCGCCTGCTTCCGCTTTCGCTCCTGCCCCTGTCCGCCAACTTCCGCCTGCTTCCGCCGCCCCAGGCAGCAGCAGGCAGGAGCTAACGAGTGCATGTGACCCTCCCAGCCTCGCTGCTGTCGATCTGGAAGATCGCCGCGGTCTCCGCCTCGAGGACGCGCAGGCGGTACTCGTCCTCGGTGCCCAGGACTCGCCAGACGTCCTGCACTCTGCCGCCCCTGCCCTCGCATTGCCCTCCTCGGCGACGCGCGCCACCTTGCCGTGCCAAGGGGGTCTCCTCGCAAGCCTCGAGGCCGTTATTATGATTGGCCTTGTCCTGCTTCTTGGCGTTCTTGTCCGCTTGCTTTTTCTGCTTGAACTTTTTGGAGGAGCTCGCGCGCGCCTTCGGCGGCCTGCCTGTGAGCTTCGCCATGGCCGCGCCTCTGCTGAGGTGCTCGAGCGAGGTCTCGCCGCCAATATTGGCCTTCTCGCGCTGCCACTTGCGAGCGTGCTTGCCCGCGAACTCGCCCGCGAACTCGGGCGCCCACCTTTTCTTGCGTTTAGCTGTCCGTTTCAGCTTGATCCTCTTCTCGAGGGCGCGCGGGAACTTGATGCCCTTGATCCGCTCCTCTGGCGGTTTGAACATTTCCTTCTGCTCGTCGGTGAGCTCGAGGTCCAGCTCTCGGAGCTCCAGGAGGCAGGGGTTCTCGCCCTCCTCGTAGTCCCTCAGCAAGTCGTCGTTGTGGAAACAGTTGCCGTCGAGGGCGCTCCACGCGGGCACGGGCGGCGCGCCCTCGGGCCAGGCTTGGGTGCCCTCGAGGCGCTCTTTCGCCAGGCTGGTCTCTCTGCCGCGGCCGGGCTCGGTGGAGTAGCTCCGCGGCTCCATGCCCGTAGCGACTTTGAGCTCGCCTTGCTCTCTCGGCCGGACCACGAGCACCTGGTTGGCTTGCATCCCTTGGAGCGGAACCGCGTCCATGTTCTGCTTGCGGAAGCGGGTGTTGGCCTCGGAGACGCAGTAGAGGCACTCGTAGGGCCTCCATTGCGCCGGGGACTTCTACTCCTTCTGGGGCTCGGCCTTGGCCTTCTGCATCCAGTCTTGCTCCATGGCCCAATGCATCTCGGCCTTGACCTCTCGGATCTTGGCCTTGGGCTGGCTGTGCTCGCGAGTGTCGGGCTCTTGCAAGAAGCTCGTGGCGTCGGGGGCCGTGGGCGCGTGGGTGACATTCTTGGGCCACGCTCGCAGCGTCGCTGCCTCGGTCCACTCGAGAGGCAGTCTGCGAACGCGAGGCTCTGGCCGCGCTCCTGCCCAATGAATTCGATGGCCCAGCTTGCCACCAGCTCGTCCGTCCAGGCTCTCGGCTGCCCCCACGCGTCGATGGCCTCGAAGACCCTCGCGCGTCCCGCCTCGGAGAACTCGAGCAGAGCGTTGCGCCGGCCCCTGAGCAATGCCCCCAGGGGTTCGCCTGCTTGGAAGCGCCCCGTCTCGCCATCGTTCCGCTCGTAGGTGACGTCGCGCCGCCAGGTGCCCTCCTCGAGGTTCATGTCGCTGACTCGGCAGTGCCTTGCGCAGGGGGCAAGGGGCGCGCTGCGCTTCTTGGCGGACTTCGGCCCCCTGCTCGGGTCGAAACAGTTCCCGACCGCGGGGATGCTGATGAGGGTGATCCTGTGCTTCTCCTGCGGTCGAGTAGGCCTGCTCCACTTGCTCCTTGTGGTCGGGGTGGTCTGCCAAGTACTTGGCCTTCTCCGTCTCGAAGGCTGCCTTGTCCTGCTCGTTGCACGTCTCGCGGAACTTCTTGCGGGGGTTCTGGATGCGTTTCTTGGCGCCCGCGGCGTGCACCATCTGGGCGCCCGAAATGCGCACGGAAACAATGAGAACCAAGAGCGGCCGCTGTTGGGCACGCGACCCCCTGCCCCCAATGGACACAGGCCGCGGCGACACCGACGGCGAATCGTGTTCAAATAACACAGGAACTGCTGTTGGGATACCCTTTCCTTTCGTACCTATTTCGCTCGTGCCGAGACCTCGCTCTCGTGGACGCGCGCGTGCTCCTCGCAGCGGAGCTTGGGCCAGAGCGCGGTGGCGTCGACGACGACCGAGCTCGCGCTGGCCCCGCGCTGGGCAAGGGTCTCGGGGCCCTCGGTGAAGAGACGGGGGTCCTCGGAGCCGCCCCTCGCCACCAGGTGCACTAACCTCGTGGTAGTAGTAGAAGTAGCAGTAATAGTAGTAGTAGTAGCAGCAGCAGCAGCAACAGCAGCAGTAGTAGTCGTAGTAGTAGTAGTAGTAGTAGTAGTAGTAGTAGTAGTAGTAGTAATAGTAGTAGTAGTAGTAGTACTAGTAGTACTAGTAGTAGTCGTAGTAGTAGTAGTAGTAGTAGAAGTAGTAGTAGTTACTCGTTCGTTGTGGCGGTAGTGGTACCACCACCACTACTACTACTACTACTACTACTACTACTACTGATAGTAATAGTTACTAATCGTGATACCTGGTAGTACTACCTGGTAGGTAGTAGTAGTAGTAGTAGTAGTAGGAGTAGTAGTAGTAGTAGTAGTACCTGGTAGTCGTCGTACCTGGTAGTAGTAGTACCTGGTAATTGTAGTGCCTGCTAATAATAGCTACCTGGGAGTAGTAGTAGTCGTAGTTGTAGTAGTAGTAGTAGTAGTAGTAGTAGTAGTAGAAGTAAAGGTAGTATTAGTAGTAGTAGTAGTAGTAGTAGTAGTAGTAGTAGTAGTAGTAGTAATAGTAGTAGTCGTCGTAGTCGTAGTCGTAGTCGTAGTCGTAGTACTAGTTCGTAGTAATAGTAATATTAATAGTAGTCGTAGTAGTAGTAGTAGTAGTAGTAGTAGTAGTAGTAGTCGTCGTAGTTACAACTAGTAGTAATACTACAACGAGTAACTCGGCGTGGCCAAGTCGTTGTCGCTGGCCATCCATTCGTTGCCGCGGGCGCACGTCGTGCGTTTGGCGGCCCTCGCCTCGGCTCTCGCGCAGGGCGCGCTCGATCCAGCGACTTGTCCAGTTACTCGTAGTAGTAGTAGTAGTAGTAGTAGTAGTAGTAGTAGTTGTTGTTGTTGTTGTTGCGCGTAGTACTCGTAATTTTCGCGACTAATAGTTATTTCCTACTACAACTTTTACTAGTATTAGTGAGTACTACCGCTACTACGACTAACTACTACTAAAACTACTAGAACTACCTGTCCGCCGTGGCCCAGGTGAGCTTGGCCTTCTCCTTGCTCAGGGTCTGCTTCCTCGCGCCGGACAGGCGCTGGCCCTTGCGCCCGCTCGCGTTGATCCTCGACGGGGCGAACTCGTCCACCCACTGCATGTCCTTCTTGGTCGTCTGGTTAACCCGGAAAATATTCAGGCGCTTGGTCGCCCTCTTGAGGATCTCGGCGTGGTAGCTCTTGTGGCCGACCTTCTGCAGGTGGAGCTGCTTGTCTTGCTCGGAGGCCAGCTCGCGGCGCAGCCGCGTCAGGAGGGTCTTCTGACCTCGGGGCCGTGCTCGCGCTCTCGCTTGAACCGGCACTCGAGGCGGCGCACGACGCCCTCGAGCGGGCGCTCGGCTGTGACTTGGCCGGGGATCTCGCGGGGCAGCCTGGCGCCCAGGCCCCTGTCGCGCCCGCGCAGGTTCGCTCGGGCGCGCCCGCGGCCTCGGAGGCCGTGCTTGCCGAGCCTCGCCGTGGCAACCTTCTTCTCGAGGGCAGCTCGAAGGCCGTGCCATCGGGCAACCGTCTCGCGGCTCCAGTGCCACTTGTGCTGCAGCTCGGCTCTGACTCGAGGCGGCAGGAAGGCGAACTTCTTCGCGTTGTGCTCGCCCGCGTGCTTGGTCCAGTCGGGGGGGGGGGGGGGTCTGGGGCTTGGACTGCGCTGCTGGGTCTCGTCGCAGCGTGGGCGCAGCCCGGGGTTTTTGCGTTCCCTTGTGCTCCGCGCTCTTGTCGCGAGGTCTGCCGCCCTCGCCGAAGCCTCGCTTCGCGCCTCGGCCGAAGTCGCGCGGGGCGAGGGCCTTGCCCCCGGCGCTCGCAAGCTCTCGGGGCGCGGCCGCGGCCGCGAGTCGCTCCTGGGAGGGTGGGTGGGCGGTGCTTGTAGTGTTGCAGTCGACTCGCGTAGTAAGGATGGGCGGCAACGATGCAAGGTCCTTGCAAGGCCCAGAGATGGGCCGGAGTGGCAATAATACAAAGATATAACAATATTGCCCATCCCTTCCACGCGGGTTGATCGTAATATTACTACTATCGGCACGGGCAGGAAGAGAGGAATAACAATGGTGGGAGGCGGAAGAGAGAAGAGGATGGCCCCAGGATTTTTTTTTTGTTGATGATTCGGGGCCTTAAGTTCTTATGTAGCAACAGATTCGTTTAATCGTTTTCAAGACATGGAGGGGGTCCACGACGGGGCCCCGCGGGTGATTCAAAAAACGCGGAGATGGAAAAAGCGCGGCCCCGGCGGGGGGAGAAAGAGAGGAAGAGAGAAGGAAGATGAGCAAAAGGAGAGGAAGAAGGAAGAGAAGCAAAAGCAAATAAAAAAAATCAACAATGGAAGGAAAGGAAGGAATATCCGAAACACAGAATGAGAGGGAAAGAAGAAGAATACATACTATGAACGCTGAAGGAAGATAAGGAAGAGGAATCCTGCCCGCCCGTCTCAGCCTCGAACCTCGCGGCCTCGAGTTTCACGTAGAAGCTCGCGGCGGAGTCGGCCGTCTCGCGCGGCGAGGCCCCCAGCTTCTCGCGCGAGCTCGGGGCCGCGGGCGGCGAGGTCAGCAGGCCCCGGAGGCTCGACAAGCTCGTCTGCTTCGTCGGCTCGGCCATCGGAGTCTCGCTGCAAAGCTGCAGTGGCTCGAAACAGAAAACCTCGAGCCAACGTGGCTGCGGGAGGCTGCTAGTGTTGGCTTGTCGTTGGTGCTCCTTGGTGTTCGCTTGTTGTTATTGCTTGCTTCGCTGCCGTTGTGGTTTGCTGTGGCTTCTGTTGCGCTTGCTGTTGCTTCTGCTGTTGTTGGTGTTGTTGTGCTTGCTGTTGCTGCTGCTGTTGGTGGCGTTGCTGTTGCGCTTCGCTGTTGCTTCTGCTGTTGTTGGTGGTGCGGTTGTTGTGCCGGCTGCAGTTGTTTGTGTGGCCGCTGCTGTTGTTTTGCGCGGTGCGTTGCGTGCGTGTGCTTGGGTCATTTGCGTTGATGGTCTTGTTGCTCTGGCACCTGTCTCTGTTTTTTTGCTGGCGCCCTCGAGGCTGGGGGCCACCTCGCTGAGAATTCCCAGCACCTCGTCCTCATTCTGCCCGAAAGCACCTCGCTCACAGCTCCCAGCGGCTCGCGAGGAGCCCCAGGGCTGAATCAGAACTTGGGGCCGAGGCCAGCGAGGCATCGCGCTGCCTCGTCGTTGCGGGCGCGCAGAAGCGCCTGCGCTCTTCCTCGGAGCCGAGCTTGACCTCCAGCTTGCGCCTCTTGTTCTCGAGCTTGGGGGGCCCTTCTGGTCCTCCAGCTCAACCTTCACATCGTTCAGCTTGACCTCGAGCTTGACCTTCTTGTCCTCTGGCTTCTTGTCCTCGATGCTCTTGTCCTCGGGCTTGCTGGCGTCCTCCTCCAGCGTGGTGGGTTGCGTCTCCCTCGTCCACTCGTCGCCCTCCACCCGCTCGCCGACGCTCTCGTCGTCCGACCGCTCGGCGACAGGCCGGCGATCGTCGCTGCCCGACTCGGACATGGGGCGCTGCGTCTAGGCCATGGTGCGCTGCGTCCTCCGCTGGCTTGGAATGCTTGAGCCTACATTGGCCACGGTTGCTTGTTGTTCGTGTGGGTTGTCTTGCTCCTTTTCTTGCTTGTCTTGCTGCGTTTGCTCATCGTGTTTGTCTTGTTGCTGTTTGCGAGCGTGCGGGTGTGCAGCTGTTGTTTGTTTCCCCTGCTGTTCGTCTTGGTGCTATTATGCCCTGCTGTTGCTGCTTTTGTGCCGTTCGCTGTTGCTGTCGTGGCTGCTGCTGTTTGTGTTTGTGTTCTTGCGTGTGTGAGTGTGTGTGATAGTGTGTCTGTGGGAGTGTGTGTGTGTGTGTGTGTGTGTGTGCGTGTGTGTTCGTGTGTGTGTGTGAGTGTGCGAGTGTGCGTGTGTGTGTGTGTGCGTGTGTGTGCGTGTGTGCGTGTGTGCGTGCGTGCGTGCGCGCGTGCGCGTGCGTGCGTGCGCGTGTTTGTGTTTGTGCGTGCTTTGGTGCTTTGGTGCCTCGGCAGCCTGGGGCGTCTACACCTCGCCAGGCCCGTGCGCTGGGCCCTCGAGCGAAGGTCATCGCCTGCCGAGCCTGTGCGGAGCCGAGCCGCGGGCAGCGCCCCCGCCGAACTCCCCAGGGTGCAGAGCGAAAGGGCCCCCTCGAGGCCGCGCCCCACCCTAGGCCCCTCAGCCTGGTGCCAAGGGGGGCTGAAAAGCGAGAACACGCGCCGTGCCCAGGCCCCGCCAACGGCGAATGCGGGCCCAGGCACCCCGAGGGACCGCCCCCTCAGGCCCCTCAGCCACGGCGGACACCGCGCCAAGGGGGGCATTGTCTCTACCGCTGGGGCCCTCTCAGAGGCGGAACCCGCACCCCGACGACGGGCAGAGGCGCAACGGCCATCCCAGCAATCCGTGAGGCCATCCACGCAGCTGGCACTCTTGCTGCTGACCCCATCCACGGCCTCAGCCCTCAGCGAGAACGTCACCGCCGCTGGGACGCCCGCTGCAGGACCTCGCACTGCCGCTGGAAGGTGGCCATCTTGTTGTCGAAGGCAGCCTCGGCCAGACGGAGCCGATCCACGGCGGCCCGAAAGCGCACCTTGGCCTCGTCGACGGCGCCCGCCACCCCATTGCGCAGAGCCACGGATAGCTCCTGCGCTCGGAGGGCACGCAACTTGGCCAGGTCCTCCACGAGGCTGGCCTGGGACCGCCGCTGGGCCTCCATCGACTCCTCCATCTTGGCGAGGATCGAGGGGAGAACGAAGTCGTCGTCGTTCGTCGCCTCCTCGCTCTCCTGACCCTGCAGCTCGGCGCCGACGATACTCTCCAAGGGGCCTCCGACGGCCTCCTCGCCCACCGCCGCGCTGAGCTGCGGGAAGGGCGGGACCTCGCCCAGCACCGTGTCCTCCTCGAAGGGGCTCTGGTGCTCCTGCTCGCTCGCGTCCACGCGCGCCTCGGAGCTGTCCACGACCTGGTCGGTGCCCTTGCACACGTCCACGTCCAGCTCCGCGCCGTCGCCGACGGACCCCTCCAGCATGGTGTCGTCGGCGTGGTCGTCGAAGGGGTTCCCGCCCACCTCCGTGGCCACCGCCGCGCTCGGCACCATGGGCGGAGAGGGCGGGGACGAGCCGCCGCCGCCCGCCTCGGCCAGGTCCGGTTGCGCCGGCACGCGGGGCCCGCAGCGTCCGCCACGCTGGGCGCGCTGCGGCCGCACCAGGGCCTCCCGCAGGGCCTCCACGCCCTTGCCGAGGACCACGTGCGCCCCGACGTTGCGCCTGGCGCGGGCTGCGCCGCACGCCTGCACGCCCCGCAGCTGCTGGCGCATGGCGGGCTCCATGGCCTGCCAGCGCATAGCGAGCTCGGCGTCCTCCTCGGAGCCGCCGTCCGCCAGGAGCGCCCAGGCGGTGCGCAGCGCTGCGGCCACGGCAGCCGCGATCGCCTGCCGCGAGGCGCCGCCCGCCGCCGCTCCCTGAGCAGCGCCTTGGACGGCCATCGCGATGACCAGTCCAGCGCCGTCCGACCGTAGATCCATCCCCTTGGTGCCGCCGCCCGACGCCGCCATGGCAGGGGCCGCGACACGGGGAGCAGGACAGAGCCGATCTCTCCTACGAGAAGGAGAGGCACGGCGCGTTCCTGCCCACCCTGGCACCAGGGCAGGCTTGAGCCAAAATGGCTACGGTTGTGTTTGTGCGTGCGTGCGTGTGTGTGCGTGTGTGTGTGTGCGTGTGTGTGTGTATGTGTGCGTGTGCGTTGACGCGTTTGCGCGCGCGCGTTTGCGCGCGCGCGTGGCCGCCAGGTGCCGAGGCTCAACCCTCGACCCTCGGATCGAGGACCCGAGAAGCTTGGCGACCCTCGGATATACACCGGACTCACTTCTATAGCGCTCACTTCTATAGTGCTCACTTTGAAATTGTGGTCCGGAAGGGGCCGCACATGCAGGCACATGCCGCACAGTCGCATGCACATGCCCATGCAAATATACAAAAGCCTCAACAGCATTGCCGCACATGCGCGCACATGCCACACCGTCCGACGCACAGTCGAATGCACGGTCAAGCAAAACTCTGAAAGCATAGACGCACATGCCCGCACATGCCGCAGAGATGTCGCAGGCGATAGTGGCCTGACCACCTGAGCTCGGGGCATTTCGCAACCCAGAGTTCCGAGGATGTCTCAGGCAAGCGTGGCCGGATCACCATGGGGCAGGGCATCTTGGAAACCAGAGTGGCGAGGATGTCGCTGGTCAAGGTGACCAGACGACCATGGGGCAGGACACCTCCGAGGTCTGAGTTGTGAGGATGTCTCAAGCGAAAGTGGCCTGACCACCATGGGGCAGGAGATCTCTGAGGTCAGAGTTGCGAGGATGTCTCTGGGGAGAGTGGTCTGACCACCTCAGCCCAGGGCATCTCGGAGCCCAGAGTTGCGAGGATGTCTCAGGCAGGACTGGCCTGACCACCTGCTCAGGGCATCTCAGAACCCAGAGTTGCGAGGGTCTCAGGCGAAAAAGGCCGAGACACTATGGAGCAGGGCATCATTGAGGTCAGAGTTGCGAGGATGTCTCAGGCAAAAGTGGCCTGAACAGCTCAACTCAGGGCATCTCGGGCGAGGATGTCTAAAGCGAAAGTGGTCTAACCACCTCAACTCAGGGCGTCTCGGAACCCAGAGTTCCGAGGATGTCTCAGGCGAAAGGGGCCGAGACACTATCGAGCAGGGCATCATTGAGATCAGGGTTGCGAGGATGTCTCAGGCGACAGTGGCTGACCACCTCAGCTCGGGGCATATCGGAATCGAGACTTGCGAGGATGTGTCAGGCGACCGTGGCCTGACCAGCATGGGGCAGGAGATCTCTGAGGTCAGAGTTGCGAGGATGTCTCATGCGAAAGTGGTCTAACCACCTCAGCTCAGGGCGTCTCGAAACCCAGAGTCCCGAGGATGTCTCAAGCGAAAGTGGCCGGGCCACCATGGGGCAGGGCATCTCCGAGACCAGAGTTGCGAGGATGTCTCAGGCGAAGGTGGCCGGATCACTTCATGTCAAAGCATGTCGGCCTCCAAATTGCCGACGACGTCTCACGCGGAACTGGCCGGACGCGAACGCGCCGGCGTCCGGAGAAAAACGCCGGCCCCGGCATTCTTGCACGTCCCGCACATGCACTGCACAAGTACGCACAGTATTCGCACAGGCCGAGCTCGCCGGTGGCCGAGCCAGGCCAGCGATTCCGAGATTCCCTGAGCTCGGGCCGTCAAGCCACTTTCGCCTGAGACAGCCCCGCAACTCTCACCTCCTCCTCCTCCTCCTCCTCCTCCTCCTCCTCCTCCTTCTCCTCTGGCCGAGCCGAACAGGCAGGCTGGCCAGTGGCCGGGGGCGCCCGCCTCCTCCGCCCCCCCCTCCTCCCCCCCCCCTCCACCTCCCCCCCCCCCATCCCTGCTTCTCCGGCCGAGCTGAGAAGGCGCGCGGGAGAGTATTTTATTAGGCGGGCGCGCCACCGCCAGCTCACGAACCGGGCGAATAACCGCCCCCGCCAGCAGCGGGCGAGTCTTAACGCACAACAAACTCTTTCCGGAAACCCTGGCACGCCCCAGGTTAGCTCTGCGAAGGCCAGGAGGCATTGGAGGCACAGGGGTCCCAGACAGCTCCTAGGGCATGAGCGTGCATGTGCATTGGGATGTGCACGCATGTGCGCCCGCGCGCTTCACCGCATGTGCGTGCATGTGCGGGCCCGCGCGGCCTCCCGAAGAGAGGTTGCGCAGGCATGTGCGTGCATGTGCCGATGACAGATCTGCGATTCTCGAACACCTCCCGCATGTGCAGGCATGTGCGCGCATGTGCGTCGGACTGTGCGTGCATGTGCGTATGATGGATACATCAAAACACAGCGCACATGCCCCCGCACATGCCCGGGCACGACGTGCACAGTAGGAAGTCGATCCAAGAAGGACCGCACAGGCCTGGCACATGACTGGCACATGCCGCGCACATGCGCGCACATGACAGCGCAAAAACGGCCGCACATACACCCACCCAGGGGTATAGATGTGAGTGCGGTGTACGATCCGAGGTGCTCGCAGATGCTCAAGGCCAAGATCTCGGACGAGTGGGCCCGAGAGCGACCAGAGGAGCACTAACTAGGCTCGGTCCTCGAGCCTCGAACGTCGAACCCAAGATCTCCCAGTCCAAGCTTGGCGACCCTGGGATCTAGGATCCGAGGTGATCGCAGATGCAAGACCATGATCTCGGACCCTCGATCCGAGGATGGAGGGTCGAGCCTGCTCGGCGGCAGCGCGGGCGCGAGGGCGGCGAGTGGGGCGATCTACCATCGCTCGCGCTCGGCCCTCGAGCCTCGGATGTCGAGCCCGAGATCTTCTAGTCCAAGCTCGGCTACCCACGGATCTACGACCCGAGGTGCTCGCAAAAGCTCAAGACCAAGATCTCGGACCCTCGATCCGAAGATGGAGGGTCGAGCCTGCTCGGTGGCAGTGTGGCAGCGTGGGCTCGAGGACGGCGGCGAGGGCGATCTACCATCGCTCGCGCTCGGCCCTCGAACCTCGGGCGTCGAACCCAAGATCTTCGAGCCCAAGCTTGGCGACCCTCGGATCTAGGACCCAAGGTGCTCGAGGATGCTCGGACTCAAGATCCCGGACCGTCGGCCCGAAGATGGGGAATCGAGCATGGTCGATGGCAGCGTGACGACCGAGAATCGCCGAGGCTCGACCCTCGATCCTCGGATCGCGAACCCGAGATCTTCGAATCCAAGCTCGGCGACCCTCGGGTCTAGGACCCAAGGTGCCCGGAGATGCCCGGACTCAAGATCTCGGATCATCGATCCGAGGGTGGAGGATCGAGCCAGCTTGGTTCCTGGATGCTTGAATCGAGGGCCACTCGGCGAGATGGGGGGGCATACTGCCCCGCAGCTTGGAACGCCACTCGCGCGTGCTCGGGCGCTCTCTTGGAGCTTGAAAAGCAAATTGGGATCGAGCGCGCGCCTCGAAACGGCGCCCTCGCAGCGAAAAAGCATGGGGTACTTGGCTGGGGGGGCTCGTGCGCTCGGGCGTCCGCGAGCATGAACGTTGCGGGCTCTGACTCGGCCTTCGTGTCGGCCTGGCTCCTCTCGGCATCGCGCTTGTTCATGTTGAGATTGTCGTGCTCGGCCTGGGTCGACGCAGACTTGTCGAAGTGCAGCTTGACGCGGTTCTCGAGGGGCACCTGCTCGCGCTGCTGTTGCTTGACGGTTTTCGAGTAGTCCCGCTGGGCGCGCTTGTCTTTTGTCTTGGTTGCTCCGCTCGTGCAGTTCGGCGGTCTTCTTGATGGACCAGCACCACTTGACAAATGCTTAAGTTGTGGCCTTGGCGACCCCGTCGGACGCGATCGAGACCGTGGAGGCCTCGTTGCGCCACCTGACGCACTCCCGGGCCCTGCTCGGAATCATCTTGACGAGCACCTCGGCACCCTCGGCGGGCCTCTCGCCCAAAAGTGCTCGACGGGCTCGAACATCTTGTTGAGCGGCAGCACTAGCTCGTGGAGGCGGAGGAGCTCGGCGGGGGTGCTTGAGAGGGCATGCCCGATGCGCTCGGTGTAGGAGCCGTGGGTCAGCTTCTTGACGTTCTCGGCGCCGACCGCCATGTCTTTCTGCGTGGCGAGCTCCTGCAGCTTGGCCCTAGAGATCGGCATGGGCCAGAAGACGTCCTCGGGCGGCTCTCCGTGGTTCTCGATGACGTCGTGCGCGTGCTCGCTCTTCTCGACGTAGGTATTGAAGAACATCGCCGCGGCCAGTTCGATGCGCCTCTTGTCCTTGTCGTTGAATATGTGGCCGTGCTCGATGCTCTTGTGGCACCCGCCTGGGCGCGCCATCTCGAGTGCGGCTTGCTGGGCGCTGCTTGACCACGAGGCGCTCTCGGCCTTGAAGTAGGAGCTCGCCATCCTCGCTGCATCCGCGTCTCGCGCGCTCGACTGGCACAGGCGCATCTCGGCGGTGGAGGCCTTCCCGGCAATGTAGGACAGTCTCTCGATGATCTTCCCGTTCTGCTTGGCAGTGCCCTCGAGAATGTTGTTTGAACGCGGGCTCGGGGCCGCCGCGTGCTTCAGCGCCTCGACGGGGGCGCTCGCCGCCGCTGCGCGCTCGGCGGGCTGGGCCGTCGCTGGAGCTCGCGACGCAGTCAGGGGCAACGATGTGGGGGGATGTGCATTGGGGGGGGGGGGGGGTGCGTCGACCTGGAATCGGCGATACATCGCCGAGGCATCGGCGATGCGCGCCCGATGCATCGGCGATGTATCGCCGATTCCAGGTCGATGCCCCCCCAATTCCTATGCATCGGCGATACCTCGCCGAGGCATAGGCATGCCTCTACCCCCCTATCGCCGCCCCTGGGGCGAAGAAAATCGGCGCCTCGAAAAGGCTCGAAAGCGTCGGGTCTCGGAGACTCGGGGCAGCTTGGGCCTGGGCAGCTGCGGGGACAAGGGGGGGAGGAGAAGGAAGAGGAGGAGGAAGGGCCATGAACCGTGTGAGGGGTGCGCTACACAAGTAATTCACATAACTAACTAACTCCAATGTTCTGCCTGTTCGAAAAACGCATACACGATCAACATCCAATCGGTCCTTATGGCCTTGCCACACGTTTCTGACTCCGGAACGGCCAAGCAAATGATATTCCCATGGCCCTGTCGCACAATCGTAACGTGGGCAAACTCAACTGGTGAAAACCCCACAACCCTGCCACACGCTCGTGATTGCGGAAGCTGGTGTGGTGAGAACACCATGGCCATGCTCAGCGTTTTTGATGTTGTTGCTAATCAGCATGAAATGGCAACAATTTCGATCCCTGCAAGTTTTCCGTGGATTATAAAGTTTGGCCTCTGCGCCTTCCCCGCAGATAGATCCCTGTGGTCGGGGAATTAAGATATAAAAGGGGGAAGGGGGGGGTACTTTATGATCGCCCGTGCTCGGTTACAAAGAAACAAGTTTCGCGCCCCGCGGGGTCTTTTCATCAGCTCCGGGGGGGGGTCACCCCTTTGTTGATCACAAACTGACATTCCGGTTTCTCGATGCGCGCCCCCACTGTATATGGCCAGCGGCCAGTCGAGGCCACGCGCAGCCATGCTCGGAAAATTTGACAAGGGCTGGCAAATCCGTGGTTGCTAAAACGGTCTCCCCGGAAGATAAAACAATTCTCTGTAATAAAATTCAGCGCGCCAGATAGAAAACGGGCTGCTTCCCGGAAGACAACAACTAGGGCTCCCAACTTCGCGCTTCGCGCTCCGCGAAGCGCGAATAACTTCGCGCTCTCGCGCCGCCCCCCCAAAGGGAGAGAAGGAGGACGAGGAGGAGGAGGGAGGAGGGGGAGAAAGAACGAGGACCGCGAAGCGCGAAGCGCGAATAACTTCGCGCCCTCGTGGGAGCCCTTGCAACAACAATTTCCCAGAGATCCGTGTCAGCAGCCACGGGTTTGCCAGCCGTCGCCTGGCTTCTGACATGCATCGGGGGGAGCGAAAGGCCGGGATAGCAAAGGGTAGGGTCGAGAATCAGCTCACGTAGCTGATTTTCCCAGTGCCTCCCCGCGCGGGGAGGAGCCCATGTATCGAGGAATGGGCCCAGCGGCGGGGCCGAAACCGGCTGCATGCAGCAGATTTCGTAAACCCCCTTTCCCTATGCCCCCCGTTCGTTCGGTCCGAATGCAAAGGATATTATCACGGATTCCCCTTGTGGAGGCCTCCTAGATGGAGTCCGGGTACACGGGCTCCGAGGACCGCGCTGCACCGCCGATGCATTGCCGCTGCATCGGCGATGCATACATCGGCGACGTTGGCGGCGTATCGGCGACGCCAGCGCGGAGAGCATCGGGCTCCACATCGAGCTGCATCGCCGATGCACCGGCGATGCGGCGCGAGCCTCTGGCCCCGTCTTCTCCGACCCCGTCGGGGCGGCCCAGGCGTTACGTTCCTGCCCCGCGGCGGTCTCCTGTCGATCACCTTCACCAGGCTGTTGGACACGCCCATCACGTTCGCCGCGTCCAAGAGCTTCTTGCGCGCACCTCTGCCCCGGGGGGGGGGGCGCGGGGGCCCGCGAGTTGAGCAAGGACCGACAGTCCCGGCATTCCTATAGTCCTACCACGAAATGTTCGTAGAACCCACAAATGTTCTACAAACAAAAACAATGTTCTTAGAATATTAACCAGATGTGTTGAAACAAGACAGACTTGGCCAGAAATGTTCCAAACACTTTTCGTGGGAACCACAAAAGGTTCTTAGAACATTGTTTGGTGGGGCTATAGGCGAGCCAGGACGCTTCGCCACTGCTTGAGCGAGAGAGGGGCCCGGAAAGGGGGCCGATGGGGAGGCGGGGCGCCGAGGCCCGCCTCCCTCGCCCTCGTCGGCCTCGTCTCGCCCCCCGCCCTCCTCCTCCTTGTCGTCGTCCTCGCCCCCGCCCTCGTCCTGGGCCCCCTCTCACCTTCACACACTCGTCGTCGTCGTCGTCGTCGTCGTCGTCGTCGTCGCCGTCGCCGTCGCCGTCGCCGTCGCCGTCGCCGTCGCCGTCGCCGTCGTCGTCGTTGCCGTCGTCGTCGTCGTCGTCGTCGTCGTCGTCGTCGTCGTTGTCGTCGTCGTCGTCGTCGCCGTCCTCGCCATCGCACCCGTTCCCACATTTGTACGGCCCATAGAGCGGCGTCAGCCGAGCAGCCGAGCGAGCGAGGCAGTGCGGCGGCGGCGGCAGAGGCAACCGACGGAGCAGCCCGGATGGCCTGGGCCAGTGAGGCACAGCCAGGCCAGGGGGAGCAGAAGAGGGGGAAAGGGCCTTTATGCAGCGGTGGACAAACCTCCCTTAAATAAACCACCCTTTAGTGAAAACGGCCTAGGGCCGAAACCGACGGACCTGGACCCGCAAAAAATGACGGCCGCGACGCCCTCTCGCGAACCAGAAACGGCTGATTCGCTAATCGACGTGTCAGGGTAGGAGGTCTATCAATCGGAAGCTCGGACTTCGAGGTTGGCTTTCTCCGTCTGGGACCCCTCTCGAACTCGTCTTGGGGCTCTCTTCGGCCGTCTTGGGGCCGTCCTGGGACACTCGTGCGCAGCCTTGGAGCGCTCCCGGAGGCCTCGTAGACCGTCTTGGGCGCCTCTTGGGCCGTCTTGGACGCGGTGAAAACCCAAGAGGCGAACATGCGAAAAATATACGTTTTCCCATAGGAATGGCACGATTTTTGCTTCTTGGGCCTCTCTTGGGCTGCCTCTCGGAGCGTCTTGGAGGCTTCTGGGACCTTCTTGGTGTCATGACAAGCGTCTTGGAAGGCATCTGGAGCCATCGGAGCGCGTTTCGAAGCCGCCTGCGAACGATCTTGGACGGCGTCCGGCGGTCCGACGAGCCTCCGGGCCCCCCGGAGCCCACATTTGTGGTCGGGGTCCCGGCCCCGGGCCCCAGGACCCGGTGCGCCGTTATATGTATATTCTCGCCCTCGCAAGAAAGCCGCCGCCTCTGCTTGCCCCCGTTCCCCATCCGCCTGTTGCGTCAAACTGTTCTTGTCTTTAGGTCGGCGCAGCAAGCCGCAACGCCTACTTGCAATAACGGCGCCGGAAATAGGCGGCGCGCCCGAGGGGGAAGTGAGAAGGGGCGAGCCTTCCCAGAGGGCTCGGAAGTGCCGTGACCTTCGGAGACATTTCCTACGTAAGCCTTACCCGAAGACACAGGCAACCTCTCAGAAGGCCGGAGCGCTTTTGAGAAGCCCCGCCGCCTTCTGAGAACCTTCTCCTGCTCACTTCCCCCCCTGGCTCGCCGCCGATACATGCAACAACAAAACCGAAAACGATTGGGTCGGACGGAAGGGGGTGACAGCAAAGGGTGGGTTAGCGAACCAGCTCATGCAACTGCTTCTCCCGCCGCCTCCTGGCGCGGGAGGCGCCTACGTACAGTCGGGGCGTTGACCTAAGGAACCCTAAATAAGGAACGAGGCCCCTTTTTCCACAAGTTAACCTTCGATTTCCTGTCGAAGACATAAGGAAAGCCTGAGGCAAGCTGTGAAACACTCAAAGAACGCGGAGCCCCTCCCCAACGAGAAGGGTTCCTTCTTCAGGGCCCCGACTGTATCCAGGAAAACGTCCGGTGGTGGGGCCGAAGGCAGCTGCATGCAGAAGATGTCGTAACCCCTCCTTCCCCTACACCCTGCGAAATGCTTAAGAAATCATGGGTTAAGAAATTCATGGTCTCAGAACTTGAATAAAAACCCAACATGTCTATCAAAATCTTAGGATTTACATTGAAACATTAAGAAAAATCGAGACTCTGGACGAAAACTTAGGTTTTCTTAAGCATCGCCTAAGGTGTATACCCCCCTTCTGTCTGACACGAAGCTGGGGAGGGCGGGCAACGGCGAGGGGCATCGCCGATGCCTCGGCGACGTCGGCGGGGGATCCTACGACCCCATCTACTCTGGCCCCTTTAGTGAGGCCTGGTGTCCTGGGATGGATTTGGAAGGAAAGCAAGAGGCATAAACATAAACTTTTGACGGTCCGCGCGGATTTCTTGGATCTGCGCTGGACCCCCTCCCTGGCGCGCGGAGCGCGCCAGGGGCGGCGCCGGATGCGCCGCCCGTGGGGGCCCAGCGTGGATCAAAGAAATCCGCGCGGAGCGCCAAAGGTTTATGCTTATGCCGTTTTTTCTTCTTCGAGGGGTATAGACCGTCCTGATCTCCTCGACCAGGAGGGTCAGCAAGCTCGTGTCGGTGTGACGACTCGTGCGCTGGCCTGTGACGCCGCACGCAACGTGAGAAGGTCGGCGGCAAGCCCGGGGGGGGAAGCGAGAAGGGGCGGGCCTTCTCAGAAGGCTCGGAAGTGCCCCCAGCCCGGCGCGGATCCAAGAAATCCGCGCGGAGCGCCAGAAGTTTATGTTTATGCCCTCTTGTCGTCTTCGATTATGACAAGCTTCCTAAAGACGCAGACAACCTCCTCAGCAGGCGAGAGGCCTTCTGAGAAGCCCCGCCGCCTTCTGAGGGGGCCTTCCCCTTCTCACTGCTCACTGCACCGATCTTGCAGACGTGCTGCAGCGGATTTTTGCGTGGATTTGTCACTGCAAATCCCCGTAACGGCGAGCGAACAAAACAAATAATTTCACGTGGATTTTTGGTAGTCTTCACTCCTGGCCAAACAATCCGAACGAACTCACTTCGAAATCCGGAACGACATCCTCCAGGACAGTCCGGGCCCATCTCGCTGTTGTCCGAGCGAAACCCGCTCTGCGATGTTGGCGCCATGACAGTTCGCCCCCTAGACCCCAGAGGCCTCCTAAATGGTGTCGGAGTAGATGGGGTCGGAGGGTCGCACCGAATCGCCGATACATCGGCGATACATCGCCGATGCATCGGCGATGCATCGGCGACTCCAGCGTCGAGTGAGTCGGGCGCATCGAGCCGCATCGCCGATGCATCGACGATACGGCGCGATCCTCCGACCCCATCTACTCGGACCTCATCTGGGCGGCCTAGACCCCCTCGATCGCCGCCGAACAAAAAGGGGGGCTACGGCGTGGGGCCACGGGAAAGGGGCACTTCCGCAACACCCCCGCCCGGGGCTCGCGCCGCCGGCGTTCTCGCCGCGGGCAGCGGGCGCGGGCGCGGCGCCTGCACGCCACCCCTCGACACCGCTCGGACGCCTGCTTTCCCGTACACGTTTCGGCCTCGGGCGCTTATATTAGAGCGGCGAAATCTATACAGATCTCCTGCTCCCTAGCCAGGCCCATCCTGACCCCAGCAGCAATGTATACGCCGCGCCCTCCTGGCTTGGCCAAGGGGGCGCATACACAGCTCGTGGGTTCAGGATGGACCAGGCCCGGGAGCAATGGATATGCTAAGATTTCGCCGCCCGATATATTTCGCAAGATGATCCAAAATGTTCCTCGTTGGTCCTCGCCGAAGACAGAAACGCACACGTCCGGGCGATGCCAAGGCCACCACTTGGGGCCATATGGCCGTTCCCTGCCGCCTCCCAGGCGAGCGACGGAACAAAAATCAGGTCTTATGCGAGACTGCGCAGCGACCTGACGCGATGGCTTACGCAAGCCGCCAGCGCGGGACGCTGCATTGTAGACGAAGGCGTTCCTGCGCAACTTTACGCGGGCAGACGAACGGACAACATACACCCATACCCCCCCAAAAAAAAAGGTCGGCCGGAGGAAGACTTGCTATGGGTATGGGTGCGGGTGTTCGGACCGCGAAGGGGGCTCCCGTTCAAGCGGGGGCCCCCATCCGACAACACGCGCCAATGGCCTCCTCCGTCCCCCCGATGGGTATGGGCGCGTGTTGTTTGTTCAAATGTCGAACAAAGAAAACCCCGCTTTCTTCCGTTGCGCAAGCGGGGCCACAATGGGCGGGGTCGGGACATCCCACATCGTCGCCGAAGCACTGCCGATGCACCGGCGACATCGGGACAGAACGTATCAGACCGTTTACTTTTGAGCAGGGACCGACCGTCCCGGCATTCCAATAGGCCAACCACGAACTGGTTCCAAAACCCAAGGGTGTTGTAAGAACGATCGCAATGTTATTGGAGCGTTGACCCGATTGAGTCAAACAGTACAAGTTGAACCATAATTGTTCTAAGAACACGTCGTGGAAATTTCAAAAAGTTCTTATGACACTCTCTGGTCGGCCTATCGGCTAGCCAAAAACGCTTCGCCACTGCTTGATTCTATGACCCCATTTGGGAGGCCTCGATGGTCCTTGCTGGAATGGTTATAGACACTCCAGATCACGATCAGGAGGGTCAATACGGCGGCTTCGTGTCGTCGTGGCGAGTTGCGCGCTGGTTTCCGACACTGCGTGCGTTGGGTCGTGGGATGGAACCGTTCTAGGCCCTCGTGATCTCGACCAGGAGGGCAAACACGGCGGGTTCGTGTCGTCGTGGCGACGTGCGCGCTGGCTTCCAAAACCGCATGCGTTGTTCAGCCTTGAACGATCGCGATTTGCCGATCGCGCGTAACAGTCGTCGTTTGTGGAAGGATATGCGGGAAGGCTGGAAACACTGAGTGCTGGAAGCGCTGTGGACACGATGATTGGAGTAGGGAAAGTCGCGCCCGCGTGGGTTTGCAACAGAACACAGTGTCAGCTGGTGATTAACAAATCCGTGGGGGGCGCGTGATGAACAAATCACTCCCCTGCTCGGGCAAATCGCGGGGGGGCGCCCGCCAGATTGAAAATCAACAGGGCGGCGCCGGTGATTAGCGTCGACGCCTGGCGTCAACGAGGGGCGAGGGGGGGGGCATTTGGAGGCAAGGGCGAGCCAGGGCGCCCTTTTTGTCTGTCGAGCCGATGCGGGCCTGTGGGCAAGGCGGGCTGGACGGAAGTGGGGCGTAGCAAATGGGGGATTTGCCAAGCAGCTCACGTCGCCGATTTTCCAATCGCTTCCTGGCGCCGAAAGCAGCCACGCGTCGAGGACTGGACCTTCGGCGGGGCGACCGAAACCAGCTGCGCGCAGCAGGCTTTGCAACTCCCCTTTTCCTTCTCCCGCTTTCCGTCCGACCCGAACAAGCGCGTAGTCCTCGTCCCCCCCTCTGTCGCCGTCGTCGCCGCTGTCCCCTGCCCTTCCTGCGCACGTTCCCTGGGGCCGCTCTCTTCGTCGACGACGACGACGACGACGGGACGAGGACGAGGACGACGGACGGCGGACGGCAGACGGCGACGGCGGCGACGACGACGACGTACCGCGGATGCCCTATGGGGGGGGGGGCTGCGCAGGCCCGCTATAGTCGACGACGGCGACGATCACGACGACGACAAAGACAAGGACAAGGACAAGGACGACGACAACAAGGACGATGAAGAAGGAGACGACGACGACGACGACGACGACGACGACGACGACGACGACGACGACGACGGCGGCGGCGGCGACGACGACGACGACGACGACGACGCATGAGAGGGGGAATGAAAATTCGCCTCGGATGTGTACGAGCCTTATAACATTTTCTATACGAAAAACAATCGCTTTGAGGCTGTCGTGCCGGGGGGTACCCGATCCCCTCGGCGGCGCTTTCGCGCCCCGCGGGGTCTGTTCATTAGCCTCGGCGGGGGGCTTCTGCTCATCACGCGCTGAACGAAGGGAGCCCATGCCCCGACCACAAGAAAACACAGGCCCTGTGGTCGCCCCAGATCGTGTCTGGCGCGGCTCGACACGAGAAAGCCTCGCCAGAAACCCAGAGCGTGCAACACGGCTGGGCCCGGCCCGCACACGGCGGCTTCGTGCGGCGACGACGTCGACGTTGGCTTCTGACGCCGCGCGGATCGCTCCACCTTGGACGATCGCGGCCCTCCGATGGCGCACATCGCTCGAGGTCTTCCCTGTTTTGGCCTCCGGTGGCGTCTGGCCTTAGGTCGGGCATGTCCCCCGGCAGGCGGATGTTGGACGGACAATTAAAAATAACCATAAAAACATTCAAACGAAACATAAGAGTGGTAAGACAAATCGCCCCCATACGATTTTTCCCAACCCTCCTTGGTTGGGTATTCGTTTTGAATAGAGCAGTGTGGTCGCGTCCCTTCTCCCTTCTCCCTTCTCCCTTCTCCCGCCTCCCGCCTCTTCTTGTCTTGCCTGCGGGGGGCTGCGATCTGTGAAACTGTCGCCACTTTCGAGGCCTGCTGGGGGGTCCTGCATAGAGGGTAGCCGCGGCAGATTCAAATTAGACCTCGCCATCCCTGGGGGGCTGCGATCTGTGAAACTGTCGCCACTTTCGAGGCCTGCTGGGGGGTCCTGCATAGAGGGTAACCGCGGCAGATTCAAATTAGACCTCGCCATCCCTGGGGGGCTGCGATCTGCGAAATTGTCGCCACTTTCGAGGCCTGCTGGGGGGTCCTGCGTAGAGGGTAGCCGCGGCAGATTCAAATTAGACCTCGCCGTCCCTGGGGGGCTGCGATCTGTGAAACTGTCGCCACTTTCGAGGCCTGCTGGGGGGTCCTGCATAGAGGGTAACCGCTGCAGATTCAAATTAGACCTCGCCATCCCTGGGGGGCTGCGATCTGCGAAACTGTCGCCATTTTCGAGGCCTGCTGGGGGGCCCAGCACAGTGAGGGCCACGCGCAGATTCAAATTAGACCTCGCCATCCCTGGGGGGCTGCGATCTGCGAAACTGTCGCCATTTTCGAGGCCTGCTGGGGGGCCCAGCACAGTGAGGGCCACGCGCGGATTCAAATTAGACCTCGCCATCCCTGGGGGGCTGCGATCTGCGAAACTGTCGCCATTTTCGAGGCCTGCTGGGGGGCCCAGCACAGTGAGGGCCACGGGCGATTCAAATTAGACCTCGCCATCCCTGGGGGGCTGCGATCTGCGAAACTGTCGCCATTTTCGAGGCCTGCTGGGGGGCCCAGCACAGTGAGGGCCACGGGCGGATTCAAATTAGACCTCGCCATCCCTGGGGGGCTGCGATCTGCGAAACTGTCGCCATTTTCGAGGCCTGCTGGGGGGCCCAGCACAGTGAGGGCCACGCGCGGATTCAAATTAGACCTCGCCATCCCTGGGGGGCTGCGATCTGCGAAACTGTCGCCATTTTCGAGGCCTGCTGGGGGGCCCAGCACAGTGAGGGTAATCGCCGCGGATTCAAATTAGACATCGCCATCCCTGGGGGGCTGCGATCTGCGAAACTGTCGCCATTTTCGAGGCCTGCTGGGGGGCCCAGCACAGTGAGGGCCACGCGCGGATTCAAATTAGACCTCGCCATCCCTGGGGGGCTGCGATCTGCGAAACTGTCGCCATTTTCGAGGCCTGCTGGGGGGCCCAGCACAGTGAGGGCCACGGGCAGATTCAAATGAGACCTCGCCATCCCTGCGGGGCTGCGATCTGCGAACCTGTCGCCACTTTCGAGGCCTGCTGTGATCCCGTTTTCGAAGTGGCTAGGAGTGCTCAGGAATTGTAAATCATCAGCTTTATCAAGCCCTTTTCCTGTAGCCAGTGTCCTGCGAGTCTCCCGAATTCCGTCTGCAGACATATGTAACCCTCGCTCCGTCATCGCCCCCTTATAAAGTATCCTAAACTATTTGCGCCCCGCTTTTGCGCAGGGGTTGGGTACGTCGCTAGTTTTTTTTTTTTTTTTTTTTTTTTTTTTTTTTTTTTTTTTTTTTTTTTTTTTTTTTTTTTTTTTTTTTTTTTTTTTTTTTTTTTTTTTTTTTTTAAAAAAAAAAAAAAAAAAAAAAAAACAAAAAAAAACTATTTTTGAATAGTCCCCTGTAGAAGGACAGGCCTCACTTAAGTCTAGCCTCGAACGCCCACGCTGGGGTCACCGCCGCGCCCGCGCGGCGCGAGCCTGTCGTGTGTGCTGCCGGCCTCCCCGTGCACGGTCCACCCGTAATTACAGTAATGAGGGTGCGCGGCAGGGGTGCGTCGGAGGCGACGATAGGGGCGAACCGCCCAGGGGAAAACAATACACGTATTCAGGTGCGCCGATGATCGATGTCTTCGAAAAGGCTCCCGGGCGAATACGTTCAATGCCCGCCCCTGGGTTATTCGCCCCTATCGTCGCCGCCGAGTGCAGGGAGCCTTGGGAGGCCATGCCGGCATTCTGCGGGCGGGGCGCGGCCGGCCGAAGCGGCCAAGGATGGGCCGAAGGCGAAAGGATGCAACGGTGACCTTGGGAAGTCGCTCGTCCTTACCCAACGGTCGGAAGAAGTAGGCATAAACATCAAGTAGGAAGGCATTGAAACCAGATTGGGTGCCCGCCCGCCCCCTAGAGAGAGAGGACGGAAAAGGTGAAGCCACTCGATCACTGGAGTAGGAAGGCGCTTGAAGTAGACTCGAGTCTGGGACTCCAAAAAGCATACTCTCAACGACCGACGGGCAACCTTGGAAAGGCGCTCCTCCTTACCACAAGACATGGCGGGTGGACTGCACGCGGCGTCAAGAACCAGCCCGCCAGACGCCAATCGCCACGACACGAGGCCGCCGCGTATATCTGGGATGGAAAGACCTCCCTTTAGTAAAACGTGGTTTAGTGAAAACGACCTGAGGCCCAAACCTGGCGAGCGCAGGCCTGGAAAATAACGGCCACGGCGCCCTCTCGAGAACCGAAAACGGACAATTCACTAATCGACGTGTCGGGTTCTGTCCGCCCCCGAGTGTAGCCCCTCGTGGTCGTGGCCAGGAGGTCCTGCACGGTCGACGCGTGGCGACAGGAGCACGAGGGGCAGGTGCGTGGCGCCCCTTCGCCGAGGGCCCAATGGGGGAGCACCCCAATACCGGGACCACTTCCAGGGTGGAGAGCGAAGACCCGAGCGACATCAGAGCTCCCCCTCCTTCTCTCCCTCCTCCTCCTCCTCCTCCTCCTCCTCCTCCTCCTCCTCCTCCTCCTCCTCCTCCTCCTCCCCCTGCCTGTTCCAACTCCACCTCCTCCTCCCCCTGCCTTCTTCCCCTCCCCTTCCTCCTCCTGTGCAGAGCTGGGGGTGCTCCTCACCGGCGTGCCAGCTGCACTCCATCCCGGGGCCTGGGATGGCCCTGGCCACGGATGCTGGTGTGCAGTCAACCCGAACGATCAGGTAGCGTCGACAATTTGTCAGCGGGGCGCGGCCAGCGAGAGCGGCCAAGGATGGGCCGACGGGGAAGGATGCAAGGGCAACCTTGGAAAATTGCTCATACTTGCTATGCGGGCTGACTGTACAACTGCCGTCCCTGGGGCAAGGCGACGGCGCTTTCAGCCGGCACCAACGGAAGATGGCCGCGCGTGCCATCATGCCGTGGGTAACGTTTTAGGAAGGGAGCCACCTGCCATCAACTGCTCCGCGGACTGTTCTGATCCCCAGTGGCCCGAGGGGCCCACAAGAGCCCTGAGGAAACCTCTTTTCGTGTGCGCCTGCTGCCGAGCGCGCCCTGATCGCAGTCTCGACCGCGTGAGGTCCTCCTCCTCCTCCTCCTCCTCCTCTTGCTTAGCTCCTGCCTCGGTGTGGCATCGCGGCAGCGAAGGCACCCTTGAGGACGGTGTTCTGGCCAATCAGGTTGTCCAATATCCCTTTGCCTGCCGCGAGCAGGTGCCCGCGCGATGCGGGGGAGGAGGACGATGAGAAGAAATTGGGGAGGACCGAGATGCCATCGTCGTAATGACCATGCTCGGCATCAGCATCTCCTGCCATGCTGGGTATCATCAGCTCCTCCTCCTGCTCCTCCTCCTCCTCCTCCTCCTTCTCCTTCCCCGATCCCCCTCATTCATCATCCCTGCTCCTCCTGCCTTGCCCGATGGTGGTCCTCTCGTGCCTCTCCTGTGCCGCGAGGCTGCGCGCACAGCTGCGTTTTGGGGCCTTTCCGACGAGGCGGCGGGCGTCGGGAGGCGCCCTCTGCCTCGTCTGTCGGTGCTCGGCAGCCGCTGCAGAGGGGCGACGCGCGCCATTCTTGAGCATACGCCCCGGGGCAAGCAAGTCTGGGGCAAGCGTCGGGTGAACGCTTTCGTATTCGGCGTTTCGACCTTGGGCGGAAGGGGGGGGGGAGGAGGGGGGGTCTGGCTCCGGACCTCTGCTTGGTGCGACTGCTTGCAACAGAGCGTCCCAGGGGGGGAGACTCCACCTGCTCGAAACAGGCGCCCAAAACAGCCAAGATCTACTCCATGGTGGGGGGGAAGGTGGGGGTGCGAGGGCCTGCGCCGATCGGCGAAACAATGAATAAGGAAACGATAGAGGAGCAGACAACGGGGGTCATCATCATCCAGAGGTCATCATTCGAGGCCCGTGCGGAGCGCCGAACATGGTTGTCTCTGCAGTGTGTTCTTATTCGAAGTTCTAGGCGTCTGGACGCTTGTCTTCTTCAAAGGTATGTCTTTCATATTCGACGCTGTTCACTTGCTTCTTTGTTGTTCAAAATTCTGGGGACATCAAATTCGTCGGATCTTGTGGCCATCGACGCGGCAGCGCGATGCCGGAGGAGACGGCCCAGGCGACCGCAGGCGGCGGCCCGCCTGACTCGAGGACCTCGTCGAGGGCGCTGTTGGCCTCCCGCAGCCCCCGGTTCTCCTTGAGCATCTCCTGCGTCTCGTCGTCGGACTTCTTGTCCGTCTGCCGCCCCGAGAAGAGCCTCGCCCTATCCTGGGGATGGGCGGAACGGGAGGCGGAGGAGCGTAGGGAGCCCACAGAAGATGTACGCGCGCCCAGCCATGCGCACGAATGATTACGGCCCCCCGACCTGCGCGACCAGCGCGATGCGGGTGCTTGCGCAACGCATGCTCTCGAAACCCACGGGCACTCATGTACACGTACGCCTTTTGTCTCGCTCCAGGTGGCAATACATCACATCGCTGCTCGTGCCTTGGGCCGCCTCCCACCCCCCGTCGGCCCGTGGGATGACCGCGACGAGCGGGCGCAGCGGCGAAGACGAACAAAACGGCGAAGGCTGAGATGGAACTGGCGGCTGCGCGCGCCAGCAACATCCTGCCGGGATGGCGGGGGGCAACGACGGGGGGGACCTGGCACAGGGGGGGGATGCATCGACCTAGCATCGGCGATACATCGCCGATAGATCGGCGATAGGCCCCCGATAGCGAATCCGCACCTTCCTGGGCAGGTTTGGGCTGTCCGGCTCCTATCGGCGATCAATGGGCGATTGGAGGTCGATGCATCCCCCCCTATGCCTATCCCCCCCTATCGTTGCCCCTGAGGAGGGCAGTCGCAGTATTAACGCCACGCCGGTCGGACGACTCCATCAGCGTGGCTCTGCGGAAGGAGCATATCGATTGGGTAAATCGCGTTCGAGCAACAGGGATTGAGCAAGACGCGACTGATCCTTGGGCTGCTGCGGAGGAGGCGATTGGTACCCTCGACTGGCTTCTGTCACCGCTTGAGCCATTGCATCCTGGACGATCTGCTGTCGGGACTGCCAGGGGTCTTCCGCCTTGTGGCGCGCGCGCTGCGGCCGCGCCGAGGGCACGAATCTGACCCCGCACATGTGCAGGGGTGGTGCGAATCAAAACTTGTGTTGGCGGCGCGCACAAGGGGGTGGAGGGAGGGGGGAAGGTTTCTTAGAAGGAGGCTGATTCTTAGAAGGCGCCAGCTTTAGATCTATAGAGCAGGCCCGCGCCTTGTAAGAAGCACTGGTGTTTCTAAAAAGCCCTCCCCCATCCCCCCACCCCCCTCTGCGCGTGGCCGATTCTGACGGGGGTCGCCGGGGCAACGAGCACGCTGTGCGAATCAGCATCGTCCGGGAAGCATGGTGGGACAACTATGGCAGAAACGGATGCGCAGGATGATTCTCCCATGCGCAGGCGCTGAAAAGGGGTTCTGGCGGAGACTGGAGGACTACATGAAAGTGACGGATCGATGTCACTAGGCGGCCAGGTTCCTGGGTTCCTGCTTCCAAATGTCGTGTCGGTTTCGGTATAGGCGGCTGTTTCCAGTCCCCGGCGCTGGAAGGTTCTCGAATTCTCGAGTTCTTGGCTGCGGCGACATGTCACCATCGTTGCGACTGCAATCTTACTGGAAGAGAGAAAGAGAGAAAGTGATATACCGTGCATATTTGAACGTGGAGAGGTGAGCAGGGAGAGAGAGAGAGAGAGAGAGAGAGATACAAAAGAGAGAAAGAGAGAGAGCGAGAGAGAGAGAGAGAGAAAACAACACAAAACATATATAATCACATGAACAGAAGAAGAGAGACAATACATCAGAGGGTCGTGGCAGTAACCGGTGAGGAGAGAGAGAGAGAGAGAAAATGTGTATATATATATATTTATATATATGTATGTATGTATGTATGTATGTATGTATGTATGTATGTATGTATGTGTGTGTGCATATATATATATATATATATATATATTATATATATATATATATATATATATATTCGCCGGCCCAACGGGCCAGAGGCGTGCTAAGATCTCCGGTAACTGGTTAACAATAATTCCAGTTCGAAGGCGCGGGGCGGCCCCTGGGGCCCCCCCGGCGACAAGTACCCCGACCGAAGCCCGGGAACTATTACTCAGAGGTGGTTTTGAAGGCCCTTTTTTCGACACCCCTCACGAGGATTGTGGCCCCCGAGGGGGGTGCACTCGACTACCCCGCCCCAAGAGCCCCCCAAGAGGCCCAAGGGGGCCCCAAGACGCCGCCAAAGAGCCCCAAGAGACCCCCAAGAGGCCCCCAAGAGGCCCCTAGGAGGCCCCAAAGAGGCCCCCAAGAGGCTTTAAAGAGGCCCCATAGAGCGCTCGAGGGCCGGCGGAATGAGCGAAGCGATGATGATGATGATGATGATGATGATGATGATGATGATGGTGATGATGCTGATGATGATCTATATATATATATATATAGATTTCTATATGAATCTATAGCACATAATGCTGCACACATATGTACATACACGTGAGAAAGCGAAGTGGCAGTGACAAGTCCTGGCTCCGAAGAGGCCCCGCGGGGGGGGAGGACGCTGAAAATTGCATCAGTGCCGTCATCCTTCGATGAACCGCTCGAACAACTCTGCGTGCGAAGCCCACTCACTGCGGTCTTCCGCTGCGCGGGCCCATTGCCGCAGCCCTGCCTGCGTCGCATGCTGTCGTAATGTGTCCTCTCATTTCATCCAGCGCCGTCTGGATGGCCACTTCTCCCCGGCACTTTCATTCCGCATGGCATCTGTCCAGCCACTGTCTCTCCAGAAGGTCGTGCGCCATGTCTACGACGACGCTGGCATTCTGGCCACGTGCCCTGCCCAAAGCCACTCTGTCTCGCTTGCGATTGCACCCAATCCCGTATGCCAGCGCGATCGGCCAACACCCTGCTTTTGTGCGTCGTGTGAATGACCCACTGGTGCCACGCCTTGCCTGGTGCTCGCCGGAAGCCGCATATACGGCGCAACAGTTTGTTCTGGGTGGACTCCAACGCGCAGTATTATGCAGCTCTCGGCGTCCAGGAACAAGCCCCGTAGAGCATACAGCCCCCAACAGAAGAGTCGAACAGCTTCAGCCGCTTGAAGACAGAAGCGCCATGATTCAAAATAAAAGATTCCATCGCCCAGAACTTCCTCCAAGCGATGCCTGTCCTGTGCTCGCTTTCCGCCCCGGTGATGTCAGACAGCGATAAGCAGTCCCCATAACTTCCAGATTGTCACCTTCTGAAAGCACGTTGACAGAGAAGCCTTCATCTAGGACCACGTCTCCTCGCACAACGCCACCTACGCGATTTGTCTGCATGTTACACTTCGTTGGATGTAGTCTCCGCCCCCGCTTCGCCAGGGCTTCCCGGAGCATAAGCACCATGCGCTTCAGCGAGAGCCACGATCTGGCCAGTAACGTTGCGTCGTCAGCAAAGACGTGCGTGAGACAAACGCCCCGCGCATATTGTCCGACCCAGGTGCCCTACTTGCGCCGCTGCCAGACCACCTCCACCTCGCGGAGCAAGCTCGCCATCACCAGGTTGAACAGCACCGGTGATAAAGGGTCTCCTGGTCGTACCCCTCTCTGCACCTCGAACCGTTTGCTTTCGACCCTGGAGGCCAGCTTCGCGTACGCGGTCATCCTTCTGTGCAGTTTTCGCAAGACGCTCACCATGCAGATGTCCGCCCCCGTGCTGGTCAAGGCCTCGATAAGCTGGTCGCGGGAAACTCTGTCGAAAGCCTTCTCAACGTCCAGCGTGGCCACCCAGAGCTCCTCCCCCCACTCGGCCGACTTCTCTGCGACCAACCGGAGAACGTGTAGAGCGTTGTCACAACCTCTGCCTTTGCGAAAGCCGTACTGCTCCTCTGTGAAGTAAGCCTCAATGGACTCCTGCATACGCATATGTAAAACGATACTGGAGAGCTTCGCCATCACTGGGGTCGTCGATATTGGTCTGTAGTTTGCTACATTTATCCTGACACCTTTTTTTGAGAATGACCGATAAACGGGCTGTCTTCCAATCCGCAGGCGGCTCCCTTTTACTTTGGGTGAGGTTTGTGAAGTAGCTTGCCAGAGGGCAAATCAATCCTTCATGTCCTGTTCGCATCATCTCGGTAACTAGACCGTATGCTGCCCCTGTTCGTCCATTCGTCATACGCTTGAGAGCGGCGGATACTTCGTTGCAAGAGACTGGCGGCACCAGGTGTGGCGTATGCTGCTCCTCTGGGCGCGCTTTGTCGCAAGAGCCGCCCACGCTGCACAAGTCTTCGCAGAAACGAGCGAATGCTTCGGCGATGTCCTCGTCCCGCGTGACCTCCTGGCTGGTCGCCCCAAGAACTGCTCCAACCCTGTCGATGCCGGCGTGCCGTTGTTGCACCCGATGTAAAGCCTTTAAACCTTGTCCGTGTTCCACAGTTTCAATCATTTCCCGTGATTGTCGTAACCTCTTTTGGATAATGACCTACTCCTCTCTGGATCGCGTCTCCCGCCGAGCCTTGAACAAACTCTGGATGCACCAATTGTGTTCTTTTTTATTTTCAGCGTGGTGTCGCCTGCGGCCCGCGCCGAAACCACAATCAAGGCGTTCACTTGCGTCATTTTGTCGTGCCCTCCGGCGAGAGCGTCCGATGGCAATGCATGGAACTTCCCTGGCGTCCCGTTCTGGTCCAACTTCGGTTGCCATCCGCGCATCACCCGTGCTTTCCGACTCTGTGTGGGCATACCTATCGAGACAGACAAGTGGGTGAAGATAGTCCGGTGGTCTGACTTCCTGTTTGGATCTGTACACATGCCAACTTTCGCAACCTTCCCCGCCGGGTCAATAGGAACAAACAAGTAATCGATCTGTCGCAAC